AGCTTACTCGGGGGTAGGTATTTAGCCCTACATGTGGCAGGTGAGATGCCAAATTTTTTATCAGCAGTAATTTGAAGTCGTGTGCTGCAATTTGTTTTAATTGCCACCAGAATTGTATCTGGGTACCAAGTAAGTTACGGTCAGAAGGCAAAGGATAAAGAGATAAATGTAAACTTATTAAGAGATGCTGTCTCTTAGCTTCCAAATGTAGATGGAGGGCGGGGGAGATGTTTTCAGAAATTTAACATCTTTCTGTTACGTACTACAGTAAAGGAGAGAGGGAGGAGTATGCATAGACGAGCCCCTTGGAGCCAGGGTAAATGCTTTGATGGATGATGTCTCTGCAAGGTTTGGAAATACTCCCTTTTCCATTTTTTTACACATGGGGAGTGAAGGAACAAAAAAACCCCCGTACTTTCCTGAGGTCACAGTGGAGCAGGAATTTGAGTTCAGAATTCTCAATTTTTAAGCTGGTAGCATAAAAACTAAACCACCATTAAAAAAAAAAAATCAACAGCAATAAAATGTAGAGGTCATTTAAATAAAACCCAAACAAACAACACAACACGTAGAGCTTTCCAGTGTGCGGTCCTGCTAACCTTCCCAGTTATTCTGCATGTACAGTTCATCCCTGTCCTAGTGTCTCTTGGCTTAATTGATATGAGATCTTCAGGACTTAGCTTTATATTATGCAAAACACACACGGTATCTAGCGCAGTGGAGGGCAGCCTTGAAGCACTGCTGTAACATAAACAAAATCCTTTAAGGTCTGGAACCTACACGCAGGGATGCTGAGCAAATGCAAATACAAACAAAGTGAAACTTAACTAGTTCTGTTGTGAGGAGAATTCAGAAAGTTACTGAATTACCGGTCATCTGAAATGGCAAGAAACTGGATTTTGAAAAACATTTTCCTTCCCTTTTTTTTTTTTTTTGTACTCCTGACAACACAGGGAAAGATTTGTTTTTCTGTGATTTTGATCTTTGCGGTTTTTCTGTAAACAAGCTTTGCTAATCTCCTAAATTGATAGATGTCCTTTGCAAGTGTGTATTATATGAATCCAGGACTTTGCTTACAAACTGAAGAATTAAAACACAGTCAGTTACTTTCTTCTCCAAATCTGATTTATTCCAGGTGCTTCTAAAAATCTCTCCTGAAAGAAACATTAAAGAAATGCAAAGTAGAGTCGCTGAACAAATCTATCTGTGAAGGTGAAAGCCAGTTACCAAAGACTTGATGAATAGCAGTTTTGAGGGTTATGAACGGATTTGTACTGCAGATACCTGTAGCTTTCTCTTGATGACGCATTTTGCCATTTCTTTTATGTATTTGAAAGGGAAATTTTTTCCCCAAATAATTTATGTAGGAGGAAGTGGGGCTGGACAGAAGAGCACGAATCTACTGTCATCTCCATTTTGTTTATAATTATGAATTGTAACCTGCTATGGGAAGGAGTGACGTGTGACACAAGAAGTCAACATTAATCCTTTGTGATTACCACTTCTTTCTTCAGTATTTTCCCTGAGAAAACTAGTTGTGCTCACTGCAGTGTGTTCATGCCTCTGCTGATGCTGAGCCAAGAGTCTTCCTTGAGGTCCATGGTTCAGTTTGAGAGTGAATTTCCTCAAGACAGCTGGATTTTCAGTACTCCAGAGAACTTATTTCATTAATCTGCTTCTGGCAGCAGGATGATTTCTTTTTTCCTGCCAGTGCAATTTCCTAAAGTAGTGTGATTACAGACAATGTGACAGGATGGTACTGGTGGTAGTACTAGTCACTGTCCCTATGAGTCAACTCTGTAAAACCCACTTGAGATGCAAGAAACTCTGATGTGACAACTGGAGGGTTTTTTTAAAGTGCTGAAGGATGGGTTTGTGATTAAGACACTGTACTGGGATCTAGTTGATCCTGGATCAGTTGTTCTGCTGCGGACTTTGCACGTGACCTTGAATCAGTCAAGCTGTTGGAATGTACAGTTTGGGGGCCTCTAAACCAAGCTGATGTACAGATGACAGATATTTTTATATCTTAAAAGCAAGAAAAAGAGGAGTGATTTAGGTAGAGGAAACCTTTTAAGAAGCTGAGCTGTCACCACAGGTCAGCAAAACAAGGAAAGAGCATAATAAAAACCAGAAAAGAATGATAGGAAATGGGACTTAAAGGATCTTCTAGAGGTCATCTGCTAAATTCCTATGACCATAAGCAAGATCAGCTGCCTAAGCTGTACCTGAGATGTTATCTGGGTTTGCGGCACTGCTATAGAAGTTTGCTAGCCAAAGAGCAAAATAATTACAGGCTCTTTGCTAATGCAAAAAATGCTATGGACTGCAGTGCTATTCATGAGATACTGTAGTCAAATAATAACGTACCAAGGATTTATAGTGCGTTTGTTGAATCTGTACATCTTAGTGTCCTTTACAGAGCTCCATTTTGCAGCAGTGACTTTCTAGACTGCGTGGACTCGGAATGAGTCAAATGTGGACGTGGCAATACACAGCTTGACCCTTTTGGTTCCTGCTCCTTTGCTTTGTCTCGAGCACATTGTCTGAAGTGGCTAACATCTGTACCGCTTTATGGCAGCATCAGGCAGCCTCTTGAGCAGAATTTGGATTTTCCACTGTACGACTCTCATTGAAGATACTTAATCTCTATTTATAATTTTTATCTAATAATGCTTTGTATTTGTATCTTACCTTGTTATCCAAACACTCAACAAACGCTAATTCACTGCAATAAGTGTAAGTGGACTGTAGTAAACAAGTGAATTAATGGCGCTGTTACCCATTGATTAATAGGAGCCATGCAGCCAAAAGCAGAGAGACACAAACATTTGTGTCCCACAGAATTGTGTTAAAGAAATGGCTTTTATAAGTCATAATAGTAGGTGAAGAGCTGAAAATCTTCAAAGCTTGGTCTTTTCACTGGCTATGGGGCATCTAGATTGCATGATTTCAGCTAGACTGAAACCTTGTTTTGGGCCGGAGAATTTTCTCAACTTAATTGGCTTCTTTGTGTCAGTTGTGCCAGGGCAGGTTTAGGTTGGACATTAGGAAAAATTCCTTCCCTGAAAGGGTTGTCAAGCACTGGAAGGGGCTGCCCAGGGAAGGGGTCGAGTCCCCACCCCGGGGGGGTTTAAAAGCTGGGCAGACGAGGTGCTTAGGGCCAGGGTTTGGGGGTGGGATGGCAGGGTTAGGGTAACAGTTGGGCTTGATGATCTTAAAGGGCTTTTCCAACCTAAATGATTCTATGATTCTTTTTGGTATTAATGTACATGCTTCCACGTTTATTTGATGTAAACTTGGCAGAGCCTAAGGTTTGTGTTTGGTTAAATAATTCCACTTGCCTAGTAGTATAAACTCAATTATATATCTCAATGTGGGCCCTGGGGGCAGTCAACTCTTGATGGCCCCAGCTGTTTCTGAATTCTTCCAGTTGTGGGGCAAAGGCAGTCTCTGGGAATGGGTGTTAAGAAGATCAGTAGATGTATGGGAAACAAAACCAAACCAGGGTATGTTTTGTGGGCAGACCTCTGTTGAATTGCAGTAAGCTTCTGTACTCGAAACAAAACACACCTATCCCTTTTCCCCAGGACGATTAAAACTTCATAGGCTGCGGAATTCTATCTAAGGAAGAACAGTTAAAAGCATAAACCCCGTAATTTTAAAAATCTGGTTGGAGTAAACCCACCTGAATATGACACCTGAGAGTCAAGTTTAATCATTCTAAAGTTAAGTAGTTTCTATGTTCAATACAAAAAAAAAAAAAAAAAAAAAGGCACAGTAAAAAACCCGTCTATTAGAAGTGGTAAAACCACAGGGGGTTGTTTTTCATGAGTTAAATATGATTATGAGGTCATATAAAACCTTGACGCATCTCAAGAGGCGAGAGGTAGTTTGGTTTCTGTGTGAAAACCAGCCTCCTACCTGCCTTGGTATTACCAGCAAGCAGGTGGTGGCACAGGTGGTGTTCAGCAGTATATTGTTACTTGGAGCACCTCCTAAAACTTCAGTTCCCAGGAGAGTTGAGATGTTGTTAACCCTTTCTGATAGCTGAAGAGCCTTGTGGAAAGCACGGGGAGTCCTCCTACCTGAAGTACTGCTTCAGTTATTTAGCGAAATAGATGGGTTTTGGTGTTTTCAAATGTGCCTACAGTTCACCTCCTCATGCTCTTTTAAACCTCTTTCTTTATTTGGTTCCTCTCCTTCTCATCACTTCCTTTCCCTTTCTGCATCGATCCTTTGTTCAATGTCATGCTTTGGAAATAACTCTATTAACTTCTAGGGGTTTTTCCCCTTTTACTGTTTTCTTAGAAGACTTGCTTTAAAAACTCGGGGACTTTTTGTCCCTAGCCTTCCCTGGATACCTAGAGCTTGAATCCTGCTTTGCTGACAGACGTTCGCCCTTTCTGTTCTGTTTTCTGGCCGTTGTTATAGCTGCTGATAGTTGGCTTGCTCCGTTTCTGGGCTGATTTGATGTATGTCATCACATAAACTGTTTCTATGTTTATGTCCCTTCTTATTCAAGCACTGAATGATAATGATCTCCTAACTATCATTATTTGTATGTAACAGTGGGTAAGGGGCTTGTTTCCGTTTCACGGATGAAGAAATTTAAGAATCAAGGAAGTTGTGGGCAATTCAAGTCAGTGGTAGATTTGGCTTCCCAGTTTGTACCCTCTTTGCTTGTAGGTTGATTGTGCTGATTCCAGGATGTACCTTGTGTGAGGTTGAAAATAACATCAGGGAGAAGTTAAAGCAGTTAGGGACAGGGTGAGGAAGCTTGAACTCTCTGCTTTTTCTGTGATTGAAACATTATGAGTTCCTGCGCTTTGTAAGACAACACCTTTTATCAGTATATAAACCACTTAAAAATGTTTTTAAAAGAACAAGTTTTCCTCTTTCTCTCTTTCCCCCCCCCCTGTTTTTTTACAGGTATCAGTCAGAGCCGGATCTCCCATTGGCTGTTGCAGCAGGGGTCAGACCTGAGTGAACAAAAGAAAAGGGCATTTTATAGATGGTACCAGCTTGAGAAGACAAATCCTGGTAAGCAAATAACACCCTAAACATCTCCTGCTGTCTTATTTATGGAAAAGAAGCCTTTTGTCACCGCTTTTTATTACCACTGATCGTTCACTTCTTGGTCTGCTATACTGAAGAGGTATTCCCTCTGACCAGGTTACTTTTTAGGAGGGTAGGAACAAATCTGTGCTTTGCTTTGTAGCAAATGATCCAGGGCGGACTCATCCATAGCTGTCTGTCCAGCTCCTCGGTCATGGTTACTTGCCCTGTCCTCTCACCGCTAGCTAACTCTGGGAATCAGAAGCAGTCAGTGAAGCCGTAGTCAGCTAACATGAAATATATGCTGAGGCTCTTAAGAATGAACAGATATAAAACATTAATAATGGCTGCATAATATAAAGTTGCAGCAAACCCCCCCACATTTTGGTGGAGAGGAACTTTGGGGTAACTTCAGAGGGTTTTGGGTTGGATCTCAAGCTCATGGATGGGATGTTGATAGTTACAGTGATAAGTTGGAGATGTGTCTCTCAAATCCCACCTGCTTTTCCAAATCTCAAAATAGATCTTAAATATAAAAAGAGAACTAAAGCTCCTCATTATCTGTAACTAACCAGCAATCTTCAAAATCACAGTTGAATTAATTTCCTTGCATTGTTCTTCTCCATAGATTTTGTTTCACCACAGTTCTTATTTCTCCCTTTAGTGGTTTTATTGTAAAGATCAAAATATTTACGTTTAATTTCCTTTAAACAATGGCACGATTAAATTAACTGTGTAATTGTTTTAAGGAATTTAAGACTCAGGCTCTCTAATGTGAACTTGGCTTCAATATCTGGAAATCTATTAAGAAAAATTCCAGTGAAAACAAATCCTCAAAACTTCTGCTTTGTGTGCAAGCTGAAAATCAGGAGGCTCCAGCTGTCAGTTGGCCTGAGAATACTTTAGCTTAAAGTTGGGTGGGTTCAAAGCCACAGCCAAGGCTGTCCTTTCTGTTAAGCATCTAGAAAATTGCTTTAAAGAGTGAAAGTGCCAAGGGCTGTGAGGTGGTGACGAGCTGCAGGGAAGCCTTGATTTTGCAGTGGCTGGAATTGTGATACTAAGGATCTGGTAACTGAAGTTACTGGATACACAACCGTCCAGTATCAGCTGCTCTGAAAGCCTCAACTTGTACCCTGTGAAGCATCTCTTGGCCATTTCCCTTTGATGGGAAGTATTGCCTCCAAGACAATGGAGAGAACTAGAGGTTTTTTGGAAGGTGTATTTTGGAAAAAAAAACCCCAAAGTCCTCTCCTAATGACGAAAACTCTTGTGTGGATCTTTCCTACAGCCTTGCATCTTTTCTTTCCGATACCGTTTGGAGCTGTTTAAGAAACAGTGTTCTGTGCTGGGATAAGAGAAGCCTTGTCAAACTTCTCACTAAGATCTTTACTTCTTCCTCTTAACCTTCTTTCTTTCCTTCCCCATATCCACAAGCTCACACTTCATTTGTCCTTTCGCTCTTGAGAAGTGTCTAAGGCAGGCAGACAGACTAGTAACACTGAAGGTTATGGCTTAAATGGAAATGAATCAACATTAACCTCTACTTTTCTGACGCACTGGAAAAATTTCTTGAAGAGTGGTTGTTTGAGTTTAACCTTTTTCAAATAAGAGATCCTATACAGCATTTTTAAGAAGCATAAAAAGCAAAATGGCTCTTCTGCCTATGCCAAGGGACTAGTTGAGTATGCTTAAATTCCCTTTAGAACCAAATAACGTTTGGTTTCTCTTTAGAGCCTGAGGTAAAGGGGGGAACCTTCAGTTTTCCTGTAGCTGTTGGAAAAGTCTACTTGAGGAAAATGGTTGTGTTATTTATCGTAGAATAATCCACTGCTTTGAGTTATTGCCATCAACTATATTGCAGGTCAGACTGGCTAGCCAAGACATGATTAACATGCATATGTGCACGTGTGTACAGTGTATTAAGGAAGGTACCAACCTTGTCCAAAGCATCCTGGATTTAAATTGCTGTTATAAAACCAATTTGGAGCCTAAGTTTTGGATACTACTTAGAGTATCCTGTGATCAGTAGGCTTGACTAGCTGTTCTGCTGCCTTCTCTAGAGCCAGAAAATGATGAAATCAGTAGAGCCTCCTGCCATGCTCGCAAAGAAGTGATGCTGTCACTGCACTCTCTGTACAGTGTAAAAGATTGTCCTCCTCTGAAGAAACCTCACAGATGAGATGACTGGCATGTGTTTTTTTCTATTCACTCACTAGGAAGTGACATTTGGCGCTTTATTCTCATATATCCCATCTTTTCCAGTTCCAGCTGCTGGGAATAAAATCTCAATCCTTCTCCCTTGAGTGACCGAGTCAGGTCTCTGTGCAGAAACACCTACGTGCTTGAGTTACCAATGGGCAAAGTGAGGTCTTCGGGAACTTTTAGTTTCCCGTTTTCTTTAATTCCTTATTTTGGAAAGCTGGATCTTCAGAGTAAGTTCATTTTATGACTGAATTTGTTTGTACAGTAATGGAAAGAAAACTGCTTAAGATTGAAACATTTTTGAAGGACTAGGACACCAGATATAACCAATTTATGAACTGTAAAGAAAGAATAGTTGTTTCGTGAGGAAGGGACTGGAGATCGCTTGGCAGACCTGTAGCCTTTCCTTGGCTCTGCCAGTTTTTCTGTACGACCCTGAGCAAATGATTTCACCTTTGCACCTCACTTTCCCGTCTTCTAGATAAGGATGAGACTGTTTTCCTGTGTATGATTTGCCTGCCTCGCCTATAAGGTCCTCACAGCAGGGACTGTCTTTTACTATGCTTATATACTGCACCCAGCCAGGAGTTTCTAGTAATATAGGGGACAAAAGATGACTTATAAATACATCAAGAGAGATTTTATTTTTCTGTTTTCAAATGTGTAACGGTGCTACAGAACTCTTTTAATCATCTGCAAGCAGTCCTGCATTTGCTAACCAAAGAACTTTGTGTTGCCTTAGGGCAGTTCTGAGGCATTGCTGCTGTTGAGATGTTGCTAGAAGTTGCTCCTATACAGAAGAGACTCAGCAATTCCATCACATTCCTTATTCACCAGCTCCCTTTGGCCTCTTGAACATGCTGTTTGTTGTTGGCTTGGGTTTGATTGCTTATTTGCATGGGTACTTTCTCTATTTCTCCTATCTTTGGTGGTGGGTGTTCAGGCAACAGCAGACTGGAACATTGCAAAAGAGCCTCAAGTCTCATAGATCAGAAAAAAACCCCACCCCACTTTTCCTACTGTATGCAATAATCTTGCTCAAAAATTTCTTGATCAACGTTTTCCTGGTAGGAGGGATGTCAGAGTTAATAGAAATGCTGTGAATTCCAGTGTACTAATGATTGTAAATTTTTCTGGTAACAGTTGCCAATTAGGGTGAAAGGCAGTTTTTTGTTGAAGGGAAGAAGTCGGTGCTAAATGCTAGTGTTTGAAAGGTCTTTAATCCAATTAATAGGGATGATTTTCATTTAGATCGGGCTTTTTTTGGAAAGGCAACACATCTCTTCTGTTTTGTAGAGGACTGAGAGCATTTTGGCAGTAGATAAATAGTATATGTTTCAGAAGCCAGTATATGAGTGCATAGAGTCCTATAATGTACTGATTTTTTTTTTTTTCCCAGAGCCCATGCGTTTTAAATAAAAAAATAAATATTTCTTTTTACATTGGTAGTTGTTAGCCTGATTAATTTGGCTGGCACTGGGTCTTGGGCAATGTGGAAAGTTTGTTATGGAGTAACTTTAGCATGTCTTTTGCCTCTGTGTACTGCAAACTGAAGCTGGCACTGAGAAATGATTTGTTGAAGTTACAGATGGATACAGACTGCTTCAGTTTAGGCTGGATATTATAAATAAATAAATATTTCTTTTTACATTGGTAGTTGTTAGCCTGATTAATTTGGCTGGCACTGGGTCTTGGGCAATGTGGAAAGTTTGTTATGGAGTAACTTTAGCATGTCTTTTGCCTCTGTGTACTGCAAACTGAAGCTGGCACTGAGAAATGATTTGTTGAAGTTACAGATGGATACAGACTGCTTCAGTTTAGGCTGGATATTTATTTCTGCCAGTCTTCTGTGATAGGAAGGCAGCTGTGGTCACCTTGTAGAAAACCGTGTGCTCATCCTCCTTGAACAAAAGGGAAAAAGGAAGGTAGTTATTATCAAGATGTAGCATCTCTTGTGTTATTCCCATAGCAGTTCTTGTTTAGCTATAAAAGAAAAGCCTACAAAAAAAAAACCAAAAAACAAAAAACCAAAAAACCAGGGGCTGACTGTCCCACGGGATTTGCACTGGAAACGTATTGTTGGTGATTTACTATTTTACAAAGCTGCAGAGAAAACAGTCCCTGCTCTGATCCTTTCCACCCAAGCAATGAGCTCTGTAGGGAACCTTTTGCTGTGCCGGCTGCTGATTCAAATCTAGCCTGGCTCGGGTAGTAACTGAAAGGTGTTTATCATGTGATCTCAGGTCAGTCTGGCTAAAAATAAAGTGTGACATCTGTTCTTATCAGTATAATATATGATAGGTACTTGCTGCAAAGGCTTGCTACTAAATGGTTTTTTGCAGCTGGGAGATGGCCTGAGGCTTGCTCCAGCCATTCTGCGCATCGCCCCTGTACGGCAGGGCCTCTCGGAGACATGTGATGTGGATCAGCAATCGCATGTGATGCTTTTAAGAGCAATGCTCTTTCTTCAGGATAGTGTCTGGGATGTGCTGAGAGAAGGCAGGCCTTTGCCGTGAGGAATTTTGAGTACAGAGATAGAGTTGCATTCCAGCTGGAGAGCACCGCTCTTGCCTCCTCTCCCCAAAACCCACCTACGGCATCCCCAAAGTCATACCCTGCATTTGAGAAAATACTGGCTTGCCCAAAGAAAATACTATATTGTTGCAAAAGGTACTCAGCACTGGCAGGTAGTGAGAGATGTCGCTTTTCATTTTTCTCTGCGAGAGGAGTTCTTCCCAGACGGTTCACCTCTATACCCCTTATAGATGTCTTGCTTTTTGATGCATATACTAAGATGAAAATCTCATACTGCATTTGCTCTGCTCATTCTGCTCAGGAGAGAAGTTTCACTTCTTCTTAAAAGCTGTACGAGGGGGTTGTAAAAAGAATCTGACCTAGTAACGAGGATGTAACTTAGTAAGTTGTAAAGAAGTAGAGCTGGGTGGCGACAAGATTGGAACGAGGTGTTGGAACAGCAGAATAAATGGGAACCCCAAGTGCTCACTTAATTGGGGGAGGTGAAGAAAAGCTCCATAGTTACCTTCTCAAATGTGGCAGCGGTGTGTATGTCCACCACTTCTGCTACTCATACATCCAAACGCATTTTGGGCCTCTGTGCATTCAGATGCTTCCATCTTCATGTGCATGGAAACCCAGCAGTGGGTACTTGCTTGTAATTCTCAGCATACTTCTCTCTTATCTGCTGCTGATATTGATGTTACCCCACAGGAAAGAGAAACAGGTAAATTGATCTAGCAAGGCTACTGAAATAAAAAAGCACCTTATATTCAGTAAGTGAACGTATCAGTAGCAGAAGCAAATTTACGCTTTAAATGCAGATTATTTTTTTTTTTCCCAACCTTAGTCTGAAATTTAATGGAAGTACTCTGTACATTGACGTTAGGCATGACTGATACTCCTGTACTTGTCCTCTGAAATGAAATCTTCAGGTAGGGAA